ATATTGGGAACATTTTCCCACAGCAACCAAAGCCACGAGTCTTTCTCTATGTTTATCTGTATGTTGATCTGTAACTACAGGCTCATCTTTGAGCATTTGTTCGATGAGTTCATCGCATTCCATAATGTAATACCTAGGGAGATATTTAAGTCTAACATAATGGAATATGGCATATCCAATACAGCGTGTAATAAAAACTGTTGCAAAAGAACGAGTATTTCAAACAACATTATTACATAATAACCACTAATTTTCAATTTACTATTTTTGGCTATATTTTTTGCAAAATTTTGCTATATTTGCTAAATTTTGCTATAATTTGCTATAATTTGCTATAATTTTGTTAAGCAGTTGCTATATTTTGCTAAGCAGTTGCTATATTTTGCTATATTTTTGCTAGGTAATTGGATAAGAAGCTGGTTGATTGGTTTTTAATACCAGCTTACAGTGCTTCGTTTCCGCTAACAGTTTTCTGACTTTATCTCATTAGAGCTTGGTATGAATAACATCATTTTCGCGTAGACATTCCTCAAATGAATCTCGGTCTTTGCAATGACGGCATTAATGGGGCATTAATTTCTTTAAGAATACGTCTAATCTGATAGTGCGAGTGAGATAATAAAACAGACTTATTTAGTTCAAATCCTGGGGCATTAAGAGATACACCACATCCTGTTGTAGCACACCATATGGCAAAGTTTAACTGCTTCTGCCAAAATTGCATTGGATTGTGGAACCAATCATTCACCATTTTATCACTAGTTGCCATAACCCTGTATTTTTCAAAGATATCAGGGAATTTAAAAAAATAATTAGTACCAGAGGCACTTAATAAAATCGACTGATTAGTAATGTAAGTTGATTTCATATTTAAGTTATGATGTAGTATCTTTGTATATTTTATATGTATGTTACACTCCCGGGAATAACAAATATTAATGGTCAGTCTATTCAACTGCTGGTCAACTTGAAGTCGCTATCTGCGATGTAAAGTATTATCCGCGGTGGACCAATATAAGTGCTGCAAGAGATAATAATAAGATGTCTATAGATGGAATATTTCGCCCTATATCTGTTGGGTATTACAGCGTATGCTCACTCAACAATGGCGTTTTTAAGCCTTTGGGAGTTAGTCTCACACAAAGGAGTCGAATGGGATGCTGATTTTAAAAGCTGGAGAAGAGGCAGTACTTCTTGAATGGGGCTTAGCAGCTACACTTTGATTTGTAAGAGGAGTAGGAGGAATATAAATGTCACTAAACGAAACATGGCCTGGAGTTAAATTACCCGATTTAGGTCCCTATAAAGAGTTGTGCATCCATCTTGATCAGATAAGTTCGACGGATAATATTCAAATTGAAAGTCCTTCAACTCTGCTAAGAGCTATTCCAGTCAAAGATGAAAAATATAATAGTGGTAGAACGGAATCTTTCTCAACATTACAATATAAAAAGTTAAAATGGGGTATTATTTAGATGTAAAACATAAAGATGTACATATAAGATACTTGAGTGTAACACTCCATGTTATAAATAATGGTTGATTCATCAGGCCCTGGATCACATAACCCTAGACAATGTAATACAATTGCGCTTTCCAATCTTGGAGGATTCGGTAAACCCGGTACCGATGGCAAGTTATATGCTTTACACTTAAAAGATAATGTATACAAGTGGAAAGAAGTTGCATACACAGGTAATCTAGGAGATTTAAGTGATGTCGACGTAAGTAGACTCAATAAAAACACTTCATACAATCTTACTCGCAACGATAATAATAAATGGACTATGGTCAAAGAAAAAATCGAGTGGCTTTTGAATATCGTCATTCACACAGGTAATCTAGGAGATTTAAGTGATGTCGACGTGAGTAGACTCAATAAAAACACTTCATACAATCTTACTCGCAACCATGATAACAAATGGACTATGGTCGAAGAAAAAATCGAGTGGCTTTTGAATATCGTCATTACCCCACCATATGTGTCGATGGGTAAGGGACATCAATTAACTAAGATAATAAATTGTGGGATCGTACTCGGGGCTTATATCCCCTCAAAACGAAAAAGTGTGTTTGTCGTGCCCCTGCCAGAAAACCCAGGTCATATGTCAGATCCAAGTTAGTAAAAGTGACAGCATTTCTCTTACTAAGATATTCATGCCGTATAATATACATTTAATAAGATTGATGTATACTCTTAAAACATTGAAGCAAGACCAATTAAAGACTATTATATGATATAATAATATACATTATGGGTTTATATCTGGCGCTCTATGAAGCATCTGAAAAGATGGATACTGTTGATGGATTTCGATTACATCAAATAAGCCATGTAAAACATCGAATACAGAAGGAGAGGGAGTTGAAACTTGGATTGTATAAAAAGTATCGCAGAGCTGTGAATGCTCTCGACGGATTTGACACTGCGCTTGTAACAGCTTGCATGGGACTCGGTGTAGCCAGTGTTGGTTTATGATAAAATATATTTCTCATAAGTTGCAAAAGAAAGCATTAAAACATGAGAATATTAGGATACTCACCGAAGCAAAATTTCAACAGCACTGGCTGATTTTGAGATATCCGAGGAGTTTCGTTTAGTGCTGTCAGAACTCACCAAATACAATGCAATAAAGAAGGAGATTCGATCAAATTCTCGTAAGACCAGTGGTATTAGTGAAGACAAGAGAAAAAAGTTCATAGAACAGGGGAGACAACAAGCTCGTCTGTTATTCTGTGCCAAAACCAAAGAACTGGTTGGAGATTAAAAATAGATTGTTTCATATCGTTTGATCACAACACATAAAAATACAATAATTTAAATGAATGCTTACATAAGAATATAATAATGGAGAATCACCATTACCTATCATCAAGCATTGATAGCATTCGAAAATGGTTCAGGTAGTGGTGAGCTAGAGCCCTTTTCATTACAATTTAGCCTAGTCTCATGACAATTATTTGTGTGCATCATCATTTTTACATAAAAAAATCCCTCTTTAGTAGCAGTATAGGTAAATAAATCTGGCTCCAATGGAAGTGGTCCAGAACCCCCATTACCTATACTACTAGTTATATTACATTAATATGATGACATGTACTGTGAATATTATTTTTACCATGTGTGTGAATTTTTAAACACTTAAATAATGGAAGGGCTGCTTCTTGTCCGACGTTTTGTTCAAAAGTCATGGATCATTCTTGTTCAATAGCACACAATGCTGATAAGGAAGGAAGTTGTCAATGTCAGTGTCATAATCCTTACAACAAATTCCAAGTAGATTTAATATATACATTGTCCATGAAAATGAATAACCATCCTAGAATTTTCTGCCGCAACAGATTCCACTTGGCATAAAAGGTAAATAGCTGTGGAAATTAAATGAATGGACCACTGAAAATCATTGATGACACCAGGTGTTCGTGCAAAGGTCATGATGTTAGTATAGTCATGACTAGGCATTGATAATGTATACGATTTTGATCTCCTTCTAATTTCATGTGATATGTATTTTGAAAGAAAGCAGCATACGTCCTCTGTGGTACGACTGTGCAGTGAAAGAAGTTTCTAAATAATTTTAGTATTGCAACAAAAATAACTGATTATTAATGAGAAAGAATTGTTGTAATAGTTGTATCTCATAGAATAATGATCACGTACATTATATCATGGATCAGACACTATATCTTTTTTTACTTGCTTGATAACGGTGTTAGAACCTACACCGAAACGTTGCTCCTAATTGTAATAAAGAAGTTGTTCATCCATATATCATATGCTTAATCACTATGACACCTTTATAACCCATATACATTTCATTGCAATTGTTCATTATGTTAAACATGTGCAAAGCATTAATGTATAAATGCATACAATTATATCTACCAAATTTTAATTCCGGATGAAGGAGAAAACACATCTGCAGTTGGAGGGATTCAAACCAACACTGGGGACATATATTAAAGCTATCCAGGAACACAATGTGTCTAAAGAAGTACTGTTAGTTGGGCTTCTGATCTTACACAAAATCCCAGAGTCAAACTAGTTATTTCATAACTTGTTCGATCATAAAAAAGGATTATCTAATGTAGCTTTCAAGGAAAATGATATACTCTCGTTTTATCATGTTTACAGCCCTAATTACTGAACAAAGGGCTATATATGTGAGTATTACTGTTTAAATATTGCTGAATGGTTGTAGTCTTTAAATATCCCAGTTAAGGTGTTGAAAAGAAACGCTCCATAATTGGATTCAAAAACAAAACTATGCGGGGGGTCAACAACAGCTACTGGCACATGGGTGCATGACAAATGTTTTCATTGGCTGACATATAGATTGGTTGTAGCATCTTACTACTATCTTGTGACGCTTAATAGCTTTTCGAAGGCATGAAATTGTGAGCTGTGAACTGTACAAATACTAAGACACAGATATACTCGCAAGTCAGTTATTTGATAATTTTTCTTGTATTATCTTAAAAGATTTACTCATAAATTAAGGGTGGCACGGGTGTCCCAGTCATTCACCATCACTCATTTCGAACCCCTTAGGCATTCCAGCAAACTATGATCATTTGTTAGAATTACCCTGACTTTCTTGCTTTGTTTGTCTGCACCATGGTGGGTTTCATCAAAGTGGTAAACGTCAAAGGCATGCATCATTTCTGCCTTCCTTCCACGTAAAGCGTACACGCCGTGGTATAAGTAAAATACTGTTCACCGTTAAACCAACTCACTCACTCACTCATACCTTATGTATTGCCGCTGTGACTTTAAATATTAACTCACTCACTCACTCACTCACTCATACCTTATGAATTCATGTTAATATATAATTTATTTGTCATCGAAACAAATCTGTTGACTTATATTGCTTGATTGTTTACTCATTCTCCGCCTTTGAAATTTATCTTTGGGTTTTTCTTCAAAATTCAAATTCGGCAAATAGAGACATATTTTTTCTTCCACTTTTCCTTAGAATTTGTTTCTGTTCCGTTTCAGTTTAGACACCACATGGAATGAACAGAGACCTATAGACCACAACTGCAATTATGCATGATTTCATTCAGGATGCAGAGTCTTGGACAGCTGAGTGATACGGGTATGTATGTTTTGTCCATTTGAAATTCCTTTTAACGGCAATTGTAAACTATCAAGAGCTTTCTTGTAATCACTGAACAAGCAGCAGTGTATTACACAATCAAAGCTTTCACATAAATGCTATTTCACTTTATCTGAATAATAAACAGCTACATTGCTAAAGATATATATACGCTGCTTCAATACATTTCGATTATATGATAAACTAACATATTTCAATATATAATACCAACATGGTAGACTGAAGAATACTATATGAAATGACAGCGTCAGATGGTGCAACACATAGCCATGATGGCTCCTCTTCTAGGAACACAAACCTGTTATGGTTTTGTCTCCTACAATAATGACTAAAGAAACATGGCAAATGATAGATTGTGATATTTGTCGATGATGACTTCGATGTAGATGAAATCGATCTTGAGGATGTTGATGGTCTGATGACGTTGTCACGGATGTTCTGGATCTACCCCTGTCCCTGTTCGGGCGCCATTTTATCGACGATGTTATTGAATGGACTGAGGCGGTGATGATGGTGTTAAAAGGATTTGTTATCTGTAAAAGATATAGACAGCATCAATATCAATTTATGTTCAGTCACAGAGAGAAGTGAACGAAACCTTGATAAACTTTATTCGTAAGTTATTTATAACCTTGAGGAAATTCCTTTTAAAGCAAGGCACTGACCAAATTTCTATCCTCGTGTACAAACGTTTGCCCGGGTGAACGGGCCGTCAGTATGAAACGAGTAATTATGTGTCTGTGACGTGAGAAAAAGTAACATTTGAAAGTGTCAGAGTCACACCCCAACTATGCGCACGTGATACTGCTGGTGAGACAACCAGGAGTAAAAGTGAGAGAAGCGTACGTAAAAAGAAATAGAGATAAATCGTGGAATATTAAATACACTAACGTTAAATATATCCGGCGACATATTTCTACTAGCTGACAAAGTAAAATACTTATGTATATGGACTAGGATACAATACAAAAAGATAAACTAATTAACTACCAAGTAACACATGGACATCATCATTCAGTGATTGACATCATGAGCATCGATCGACGAGATTAGGTTTGTTTGTTGTTGCCACCCCAGCAATATTCCACTTTCGATGTTCTCATAATCACTGGATCGTCTGGTGCAGACTTGATTATTCACATATGGCTGAAATAAGACCCGGGTTCGATTACCCACATGGGTATTATGTGTGAAGCCAATTTCTGGTGTCCCCCACAGTGATATTGCAGGAATATTCCTAACAGCGGCGTAAAACCATACTCACTCACCCACTCAAAATTTCCACATGCATGTTCAAGCACGGCGCATAATTTGGATGTTTTCGTATTTCTTGGGAGCATGATACTCACACACATGTATTTATAAAGTGAACAGAATGCAGTGATTGTTTAGCTATCGGGTGCTCATTAAAACACTTTAGTTAACCGTAAATAACCTTAAACTAGGCAACAACTCCAGGTCTTTAAAAGGCATTTAGAAGTGATGATCATAAGGAAGAGAATATATGGATGTCAACTTCTTTATTATGAGGAACACAACTTTTCAGAGTACATGCTTACTCCTTCATCGGGTGAATAGCTGGTAGTTCACCTGACGAAGGAGTAAGCATATACACCGAAACGCTGTGTTCCTTATAATAAAGAAATTGACATCATATATTCTCTTCCTTATGTGCCACAACTTGCTGAAAAATTAACGTGTAACGCTGTGGGAATGCGGCAAACAGGAATGGCGCAAACCGAAGTTGCAAGACATTTTAATGTTCATCAAAACTCAATGTCATTTCTTTGGAGACTCTATCTACATGACTTGAAACGGGCCGGTCTTCAACGTCAACAAAACAACCATATACGGTTGTTGCATCTACGGAATCAATACCAAACTTCCACATTAACAGTGCAGACAGTTCTTGGGTAAATAGTGTCAGAACCGTACGCAACACCTAGCATTGTGTAGACAACACAACACAACGTCCTTAGTTTGGGATGGGAAGTGTTATGGTATTGGGTGGCGTCACGACTCCTGGGAGAAACTCAACTCGTCAATGTTCATGGTAATTTGAAACCGCGAAGATATCATTCTGGATCATGTTCTACAAGGGCTGGTCAAAAAGTTCTGAGCCTGACTAATTTCGACTATGGGCCATGACAAAGTGAACTAGTGAATGTAGTACATTGTTTGAGTATTTCATTGCAATGTGTTTGGTCTGTTGGGGCCGTTTGTATACTAGTGACAACCATTGAACATGATAGGGGTCCAAATAGACACAGAAATGGAAGAGAACGAGAAAAGTTCTCCCCAAGAAATTCATGACCGCATGTCACGAGTGTATGGGGATTGGTGCTCTAGCTATTCCAGTGTTTAACATACGGCAGCTATGTTTAAGGCTCGGAGAACAAGCCTTGATGATGACCCTAGGTCTGGACGTCCATCAGCTTCCATCAATGAAGATTCAATCAGGAGATAGAAAACTTTATACTCTCAGATAGACGTATTACCATTGCTGAACTTGAGGAAGACACAGGTCTAGGCTATGGATCCATTGAAACTATTATTCATGAACATTTCCAGATGAATAAGATATCTGTTCGTTGGGTGTCAAAGTTTCTAAATTCTGATCATACGGGGGGAAAGAACTGACATTTCCCCGCAAAAGTTAGAGCTAATTATTGAGGAGGATTTCTTCAAATTCAAAAAGAGATGGGTAACGGGTAATGATACATGGGTCTATCCCGAGTCAAAACGTCACTCCATTGAATGAAGCCCTTCCACTTCTCTGGCAGCAAAGAAATTCAAGTCTTCATGTTCAGAGAAAAATGTTATGGATACTGTATTCCGGGATGCAAAGGGTGTGGTCCTTGTTGATTACATAGAAAGTCAAAAGACCATTACCGGTGCCTATGATGATTAGCTTCATCGCCTGAGAGATTCTGTGAAAGAAGGGTGGCGAGGAATGCTGACTGCTGGAGTTCTACTATTTCATGACAATGCCTCTTCTCACACCTCTCAACTTGCAAAGGCTGCTGTGCGACAAAGTGGGTTTCAAAGAGTTTCCTAACCCTTCATACTCGCCAGACCTGGCACCAAGTGATTTCCACCTGTTTCCTAAACTGAAAGAACACTTTCGTGGAAAGCGCTATGACGACAACGACGACCGCAAAGCTGCCGTGAATGTGGTTTTCAGGGTGGCTTTAGTAAATTTCTTCCTGACTGGAATTGGTTTTGTTTGTTAGGCTTAGAACTTTCTGACCAGCCCTCATACTCTTTGCGCAAATGCAAGAACGTATCGTCGTTATGCAGCAAGAAAATGCCCGCCCACACGTCGCACGTGTTGGAACAAACTTTTTGAGGCAGCAGGTTTTCCATGACGTAGAAAACCTGCGTATTTGACGCGATCTAAGTAGAAAATACGCAACATAAATTCTCCATTGTGTCAGTCGTGAAGCAGATCATTCAGTCTGTCAATATTGCTATGATTAATTAACGAAGATAGCTGCATGTGTGCTAATACCCATAACGTGAAAACAAACCATTCCGCCAATAGTGAATATTACTAACAGTAATAAAAATGGCAAAGTGCGCTTTTCAAGAAATGTCCATTTTCTTAGCGATAAACATCATCATTGAGTTTTGATCACGTGGTTACAATCTGGGTAATAATCGACTGTCGGGTGACTGCGAGCGGTTACATTTAAAACCGACCTAGGCCAGTAGCGCTTTAAATACTACATCTGCACGTATGTTGCTTTCAGTTAGTGCTGGCAATGTACGTACGCTGCACACGCCGTTAAAATATAACTTTGCATTCACCTGACTGTTGATTACAACCCATATTGTAACCACGTGATCAAAACTCAATGATGATGTTTATCGTTGAGAAAATGGGCATATCTAGATCTTGAAAAGCGCACTTTGAAATTATTGTTATACACAATAATTAACGAGTGACGAGACGGATTATCTGTCCCGAGTGAAAATAACAACGTTAATTTCTCGAGGGACAAATAAACCGTTATTCCTCGCCATGGGTAGTTATTGGGTTATTTTACACATCGTCAAGCTTTAAATAAGAAGGTGACCCCTAAACCTAATGTTCCACATATACCAGATAACACCGTGCGAACTACAGAGCCTTATGGCTTAATTTCATTGTATACCCAGCATAGTTGTTTTTTCAAAATCTTAAGTTTGGATAATAAAAATATGAAGGTCAAAGGACAACGCTATCACATGAAAGTGCTCAGAGTTAGATTTTAACAGGAATTATTAATCCTGAGATTAATTTTACTTGACATATAAAACTATAAACCCGAGAGCATAGTTATGGTGCTGACAAACCAATGGTGAAAAACAGGGCGATAGACTGAACTCACGAGTTGTTGATCCTAACAGGGCTAAGAGATGCAAGTCTGCACAGCTAATAGCAGTGCCTCAAATGAGTGCAATATCAATTATCCTTTTGTGTTTAACAAACACATACAATCTGATGCATATATCTTACAATCATCAATTTAAAGACAATTAATTCGTCGGTGAATACAATATGAGAAGATGATGATTATTTTCTCTATTTATATTACAGAAACGTGTGAGAACTGCGTTGCAGTCGAACGGGCTTACACGCTTGGAGGAACGATTGACCCAAATGTATTCATCGTTCATGCTAAAGAATGGGTGATAAAAGGGAGGAGGTGTGAGGAAAAGCGAGATACTTTAAATCAAATTCTCACCAGAGCGTCTGCACTAAGAAACACTAATGGTGGATCAATACTTGTACATCTAAAGGGACAACAACCAAACGATAGATGTTTGGAAAGATTTGATGAGTTCATCAGCAGTCCCCTTAATGACTTGTTATCTGATGGTACACTGTACATTAATGCCTTCGCACGTGAATGGCTGAGCGTGAAAACAGAATTTCAAAGTTACAGTGATTTTGTGGTCATCTCAGTGAACCAGGACCATAAACAATTAGCAACTATTTCATTCAATACAAAAATAAGATTTGACTTTGCAAACTTGGATCCATCAATTCTGAACATTTTATCAATTTTGACAAACAAGCAAAACAACATTGTGACTGAGCCAGAAGTGCGAGGTTTACCCACTGAAATAGAACTACATGAATGTAGAAACAGAGAGTTCAAATCATTTTATCCAGCTAATTATTTACCTAGAATCCAACAGGGCAATTTTGATTTACTTAAATACATTTGGAAGGACCTGAAGTTAAGAGACAATATCACCTCCCTGTCTAAAGTGCCCAACGGAGGATCTTATTATGTTGGAATATCTGAAAAAACTGATGAAAGTACAAAGTCGAAAGTTGCAGTGATATCTGGATTTCAGTTGGAGGCGATTCCAGAAGACAGGACAAACAGAGTAATACAAATAAGGGATGCTCTATACAAAATCCAAATCAACCAACAAGCTTTTGAGACGGCAATTAAGGAAAAGCTTTCTTCAGAATTGTCAGTCCTTGACCTAAAGGGTAAAATTGACCAACCACCAAATAATCTCATCAGGACAACTTTCCACGAGGTTCCACAAAGTTCACTATATGTTTTGGAAATATCTATTCGGTACTTTGATGGAATTGTGTTCTTTGATTCTGGGCCCAGGTTGTATCAAGTAGGCATTGACAACAGTACATGTACGCGAATAGGCACTGACCAGTGGCTAGAGAAACTACGTTCACAATGCTTAATTTGTCAAAGAAAGAATTAACGATCTCACTGAAACATAAGTTGGAGGTCACCAGCACAATGTCAACGACTGGAGACGAGAGCGATGTTTCAAGTACCTTTCACTCAGAAGACGAAGAAGTGCAGTGTATTTTGGCAAAGACCGATAACTACTCTTCAACGGATGACGATGAAGATACCTCAGCTGTCAAAGGAACCACAGGTTTTCATGTTCTATTGTTACACTATGCTCCTAATGTTAGTAAACCAACATGTAAATATTTCATAAGAATACCATTTGACAACTCATTAAATCTATTAGGTATGGCAAAATATAATTCTATAATGCTGGAATAATATGTTTCAGAACAATTTTCGAAATTACCACCACCCTCCCTGACAAGAGAAGAACGTCAAGATGTCATCTCGTTTGTCCGTCGTAAGGCTGGTAAGGATCTTAGTTCTAAATAAAAGACATGCGACAATAATAAGTGCACTCAGAAAGAGATCTGTAGGTCACATCTTGCAATATTGTTTACGATGCATCATTTCGTAAATAAGAACGTGTTTTTGAATTACTATCAAGTATGGATGATACCAGGTGTTCGCGAACAGGCGAGCTTATCCTGCCTATAATTGGGCGATCGTCGCAAACACATGCAAAGGCAAGTCAGTTGTTCATCTGAAAAAACACAGGAACATGTGATACAAGTCAAAATACGGATGTGCATCAGAAATCACGAAGTGGGGCGGGGGATATAGGAACGGAGTTCGTTCCTCCGTCCGTCCGTCATTCCATAATAGTAAGTTAGAGAAATGATATTTCACACAATGATGTTAGTTGTCACGATGTCAAATGAGTTCGAAAATTGACGTCTTTAATTCATTTTTATAGAGTGATAGTCCTTGCTCAATGCTTTTCAACTTAGTGCATACTGCGTGAAATGTGGACAAGGTTTCTCAAAAACTCCTGAAGTTACTTGAATGAAACGTTCATGCTTATCAAAGATATTCTTATCAAGACTTCGAAAATTGGTGCCATAAATTATTTTTTTACACAGTTACGGCCCTTGATCTGTTTTAATTTACAAAGTGCATCGTGTCTGAAATGGGGACAAGTTTTCTCAGAAGCTATTGACGTTACATGAATTAAACTTTGCAAGTTTAGCTTAGAGATATTTATAATAACTGAGCTCGAAAATTGGTGTCGTAAATTATATTTTACACAGTTACTGCCCTAGATCTATAATAATTCAGTGCATAGTGTCTCAAATGGTGATAAATCTTCTCGGAAACTACTGAAGTTACATTCATGTAACTTTGCCATGCTTCTCTAAGAAAATCTATGACGGCGGTCTGTAAATAATCGAGTCTGGACCAGACAATCCAGTGATTAATATCATGAGCATCGATCCACGCAATTGGGATCGATGACATGCATCAACCAAGTCAGCGAGCCTGACCACCCGATCCCGTTAGTCGCCTTTTACGACAAGCATAGTCGCCTTTTACGGCAAGCATGGGTTGCTGAAGATCTATTCTACCCCGGATCTTCACGGGTCTTAAGTCTTTATGGGACACTTTGTTTATAGTTAACATTAACTTCCATATTATTCAATACTATATGAACAAACAAAATTCGAATGTGCCCAATGGCAGGGCAGGGGACATTGGTGCCACAGTCGTCTAGGGATTGCGTGCCTTGAGCATCCCAGAAACCTATGATCGTGGGTTCGAATCCCGGTTCGCCCCGATTATGTTTCAAGGTTTGTCAGCACCATACACGTGTTCGCGGGTTTCATCAAAGTAGTAAACGTCTAAGACCTGCATCACTTCGGGCTTTCCTCCCACATTCATCTGACATCACCTGGTATACCTAAAATATTGTTCAAAGCGGTGTTAAACCCATCTCAGTCACTCATGGCGGGGGATGCGTCAAATTTGGAAATGGCATCCACGTGTTTTCCATAAAACTATTTAAAAGATTTGCTGAGGACTTAATTGTTGTAACCTTGATCAAACAATTCGTCGTATGAGAGTCGTATGACGCTCTTTTAGTTCGAGTTGGAATATGGACAATTGAGAGTTGAATACAAACCAAGTTGATGCAATGTTAACTTATAACTTTCTCATTCTTACCAAATTATGTTGTTCCTTTTTATATTTACAGAGATCTTCATATTTCCACGTGAAGCAAGGCATATTTTGCATGACTCTTATAACGACGTGTACAAAAGGATTCTACTTCTCGGTGGCCAAAATGCAAGCCATGTATTTGTTTGCAGGACAATGTCTGTGTTACTTGATATAAGCTGCTCGAAGTCAGTACCAAGAAATGTCATGTGTGACATTTGCGTTTTCTATCCATCAAAACCGGTCATGGTGCTTACCTTCACAACACAAGCTACACATGCTGCTTCCCAATACAACTCAAATGTAGCAAAAGCTGTCATGGTTTACATCAACAATGATTTGTTCGAAAATCTAACAGTCATAAATGGTGTAATTGACATGAGCATGGACCAAAGTTTTTTGAGCAGGATCTCAGAATTAGAAACATCTGCTAAAGACTTTGCTATTCCAAACAATATGAAGATGGATGAAAAGACAGCTTTACGTGTTCTTACTTCATTTCTGAACATCATCCCGAAATCTGACAGGTAAATCTGACAGGTAAATCTGTTGATTTAATATGGTTACATTTAATGAAGGATACAAGCCCAGATTGGTATACGTATATGTCATGTTGGTTTTAAAAGTCGCCAATCTCGTCTCCTCAGTAACCATTTTATCAAACTGTTTTTGCAAGCTCATAAGATCCGTGTTTAAAGTAAAGTTAGGTTTATATTGCAAAAATACATTCCTCGGGTTTTTAATTAGATATATATGTTTCCAGATAACTTGTTTACTGTCAGTGTTAATATTCCGGTTGTCCGATTACATGAACTTGACTGGAACCAGTTATATTCTTAGTATCATAATTGCAGTATCTGCTCGGTTGAGAAGTATTTAAAACTTTCTTTTTTTATAATCGGTGTGTGAGTGCATGTTGTTTAATACCACAAATGGGTAAATGAGACGTTCCAGCTATATGGCGGGCTATTCATAATCAAATATTGGCCAGGTAAACCAGAGCATGATCAATGTCCAACGAAGTCAGACTTCAAACATAAATGTATATTGAGGAACGCTTATTAATATTTTTAAGTATGCCTATGACATATCAAAAGAAAGGAAATAGTAGTACAAATGATCACACTTAGTTCAAAAAGTTGTGTATAATCACATATTCATATTGTGGATGGTTATTCTTACAGGTGATGCCCGTTATCATTTCGACACATCCCTATCCTCAACTGACAAGGAATTATTTTGTGGGGAGAAGCAGAGACCATATAATAGTCTATTATATGGTCTCTGGGAGAAGGAAGGACTCCATTCAAAAAGCAAAACCAATGACAGTAGTTGCATTGAATTACTACATATTGCTTAGACTTTCGGCGAACATGTTGCTGTCTATTTACCGTGATAATGATGCATGTTCAATGTGATTTCTCAGGATGCACATGAAATAATAGCTGACAAAACCGAGATTCCCAAGAAAACATCGCTTGCTGTGGGGTGTGAATCCGTTCATTAACAAGAATAATAATAGAATCATAATAATACCCTTTGAACATAAATTACTATTATGAAATAGATGAACATCACAGTACAGCTCATATCACAGTGGTACCACAGATTCAATACAAGAGAAAAGGGAGATAACTGAGATACACATTGTCACATTTAACAATAAATAAATACATTAATGACAAACAATTCTCCATTCTCTTCACTTACACATTGATACTTGATACAGTAGGGATTCATAAACACTAGATATATTCTCCACCTGAGAATGTAATTCACATTTTGATATTTCTTATTAAAAAATTAGCTCATCCGTCTCTAACACAAATGGATTCCGTCGTCTCTACGAAAAATACCCGGTAAACTTATATTATAATTGTGAAATATATGAACATCACAGTGTAGGTCATATCACAGTGGTACCGCAGATTCAATACTAGAGAAAAGGGAGATGCATACTTATTTCGGATGCAAGATCCATTTCTTAAATCAAGGGCGCACGGTGGCCGAGTCGTCTGACGTACCGTACTTCGCAATGCAGAGTTGCAGTCGGTTAAATGAGACATATCACGGCGCCTATTCATCTTACTCAAATATTACCTGAATGCAATGGAAATCAACTGTAATTGTGTTAAAGCAGAATAACTATTATCAAGAAAAGACAAAACAATGCAAAAACCTCCAACCCCCAAACACGGTTGCAATAAACTAGCCTAGATTGATATTTCTTACTTTTAGCTTATCTGCTACGACTGAGGCTCGTTCGAATTTACAGTGAAAGTCCTTTTCACTTGTGATTTATCGCTCAAAGGCATTTTACATACAGCCCCCCTGTAATTTTATCAGCACATTGGAAGGCAACAGAGTCAATTTTCTTAAAACTGTGAAAAACCCCACTGCACAGGCTGCCCCAAGAGCCATATTGAACGATGATGTCAGGTCTTATTTTTGACGTGTCTCGCTGTATAGGCGGATTGTTTGTCTATTATAAGCTCAGAATAGAATTGTTTGAGGTCTGCCGACACTTGTCCTGTAAGAACACCAATGATTTAACTGTGATATGGTGTAATAACGAATATTTGGTCTAGTTGTCAAGCCACACCCTGCTGCGTCGATCTAGAAAACCTGTCACTTACCACATCTCTAACACCTGGAATGTGTCTTGCTGTAAGTTTATAACCGTGTACATCGGCTAACCAAAAACAGTTCCCAAATACACTTAATTAAAACGGAATTTGAGGACGTGCCCCCTGCTGATGCAATACATCGCAACGGTATTGTCCCTATAAGCTAAGACATGGCGCCCACCAAGGTTTGGCCCCCATCTTTGCACTGCTACAAACAAGTTACCAATTCTTTAATATTAACATGCTGCTCTTTAACCGCAGAGGGATTACTCTTCCAGTTTTCTGAGCAACGGCTCTAACTGTGACTTTGAGATCCGCTTGTTTAATGTTCCTGCAATTTTATGGGATTGTGCTTCAAATATGAATACACAATGTCATTTAGGAACAAATGTTATATTTGGGATAACATGCTCTTTGTAAAGTACAGATTCTTTCTAGTACTTTTGGGGGTTGATTCCCTTCCGGAATTGGAACTAACGCTCTCAGTGTGAGGCAAATGTAACAAATGTGCGTTGGGTACACAAAGAGCCTAGATATCAAGCCTGTAGCTGATTAGCTAAGCAACTGTATAACATTAGGAAACTGATAGTAACTAAAACACCACTTTGACAAGATAATGACAATATGCATAGACGGCCAATAGACAGCTGCGACCAATTAACACCAAAGTTAATTAACTCGGCTGAGTGAATAACCTCGGCTGGGTTAAATAGCGGGAAAAGGGGCGTATTCCTAAAATAAGTCTCTTGGACAATAAAACAGATGGAAATCGTCTAAATTTCAAACTAGCCTTATGGAACAAAGAATCAGTCACTATGACTGGGCAAGGAAATTCTAAACTTCCCAGAAATAAAAGGTTCTTGACCTTAGGAGTATCTAGACTGACTATCAATAATGGTACTTGAAAAAACGAGTAACTTGACTCCCGATAGTACAGGTACTTGACCCAAACTGGACAATCGCGGGAAGGTTGGTTTGCCACGGATTGCTAGAAAAAAAAATGAGTATAAAAACCCTTACTAATAAGTTCAGCTCAATACAACCAGAGTAAGCCAGTACTAGACTATCACTCCCCCCGTAATCACATACGAATGAACCCGAGTTTCGAATGATCACCCAAAAGCAAGATGACCCGTAAAACGTTCTGCCAAACCCCTGAGGTAAAGACTCATTACTATGACAAGGGTTTCATACGTCGAAGAGGACAACCTTTCCAGGGTCTAGATTTTCGAAACGATCTTAGCTAAGATAAATCTTAACAACTTACATTCAAAGATAGGATATCTTAAGGTTAAGATAAGATAGATTTTCGAAACTATCGTAAACCTGTTGCAAATCGTATAGAGCTACGATACGTATCGTAACTCTGACAGAGAACGCATTTGTGTTAGAGATTTGTGATTCGCATGACGTCACGGGGATTTCCCAGCCGCTGACAATAAGAACAACATGGGGAAGTGACACGGAATTCATGATCACATTGTCGGGTCATATTGTTTAACACGCAACCATTTGAGTGATATTCCGTACAATCTTACACATGTCCTACATGTAGACGTTTTGTTCTTATGATAAAATATGCCATGACTACCCGAACACAAATAGCACTCGTGTGCTATGCAAAGACATTTTTCGAAACCCAATAAAGGTTATAATGAATAAGTGCAGTGTTACCACACTATAGCTATTAGAATTGAAATAATGTGTTAAAAAGATACTTCACTATTTTCCCTTTAAATGATTCTCTCCCGTGAGCGCGCAGAACTTTACGTAAACACATCGCGTACAAAGTCAAGTAAGGGACGTTATTCTAAATGACAATAACGAGACCAATGCAAGTCTGATGTTACGTGGTGTATACTTGGTCAGTTTGACAATACTTCTCTTTTTATCAAATATCTTTCTTTCAATAATATAGATAACCAAGGTGTTGTTTTAAAACGAATCAAAATACAATTACTTTTGCTAGAAAAACATCAAATATACTCTTTATACGAATATACTATACACATATTTCATCACATGTATTTCCTTGTTAAATCAAATACTTCACGGTATAGTTAGATTCAATTATTGAAACTGCTCGTCCAACACAATTTTAGATGTAAAACCTGATGAGAAACGCTTATGGTTTTGCACTTCGTCACAAACGTAGATTGATACAATTTTATAAAATGTGAAAACAAAGACTAAAGCATTGTCACAAATGAGATCCAGAAAATATAACAGCGGAACTCTGCGCTTTATGAAAACTGTAACATTGAGCAGGTCTCGCGAATACAAAGGGAAACCACTCTCAGTTAGAGTATTAACTAAGATTAGCTGCCCCTGGGTTATCAATAAGGTCAAGGTCATTACTATAGCCTGCCGACACCTTCCATTTTTTTCCTTCCCAAATTATCGAAATAATATTTTGTTACACACTTCTTCAGCATGGACTCGGATAGAAATATATTGTAAGCCATCGACTCAATAGTTTGTGGGCTCCATGTGGATCGCTATCGCGATCAAGAACATTTCTGACGTGAAATCTTTGATACGTTCTTCGTGTTTTCGAAGTGTCAATTTCAATCACACAGTTTTCACTGAATGAAATGTCAATGTTTGAACTGAAAGCAGAGTATTTGTTTGAAAAATATATATGGCAAAGTATGCAGCCATCTTGGAGGAAGATAAAAAAAACTTACGACAGGAATGGGGCTATCATGGATTTACGACAAACTTAAGATATCATAGGGCTACGGTTAGTTTCGAAAATAGGCTACGATAGCCTACGATTTCCTTACGATAACTTTACGATAATTTTAGGGCTAAGGATGAGGAGGTGGGTTCTTTGTTTTGGTTTGAGGGTAGTCAAAGCAATAGATGAAAGCGTTCTTTCGGGAGAGATGGGTAGCCCTGAAA